GATCAAGCGGGTAGGTTGCCTGGAAACTCCGCTGTGAGCAGGTTCTGGGCAACGCTATTGACCTTGCCGGCGCGTGCCCATTAGGTAATTTGCCCTCCCGCACACTAACACAGAATCGCGAAGAAGCTCCTTAAAAGACAAGTGTCCTCTTTACAGAGGGTTCACTTGGGGCTTGGGGGACAAGATTGTGGAAATCAGGTTCAGGTTTTGCAGCTTTTCCTGCACCACAGCTCTGCTCCTCACAAGGAGCCATATCATTTTATGAAACTCTAGAATGAGGTTCTCAGGTAGCAGGTTTTGAGTGGCGTGGTCTGGCACCCCTCTTGACAAGCCGAGGATTCAGCAGCGTAGTCAGGGCCACAGCCTGCATTTGAACCAAGACTACATCCTTCCTATAGAAGTAATAATGGTAGTAATAGCAATAGTAGTAATAATGTTCGTATTTGTATTGTTAACAGCAAGAGTAAGAGTAAGAATAATCTTAATATCCAAGGTAATCATGACAAAGCTTCCAGTGGGTTATTATCGCCTTGATTCCATGAGGATCCAGGCGGAGCCAATTCAGTGGGATAGATTTTTGAGTTATGCCCTGAACCCTGCACGGTGAAGCATTGGTTTGTGTTTATACAGTATTTTTGGAGGCTGCGGCATCAAACCGCTCCTACATCACAAGTCTGCTCTCACTGCTAGGAAGCTCTTTTTTAGAAGGGTGCTGACGCGAGGGTTTCCGAAACATAAGGTTTCCGTTTGGCGATTGTAATATTCTGGGTTCAATACTCGGATCCCCCTATGTATGGAAAAACTACTATATAGATGCATACCCTACACCCTAAACCCTTGCAAATAAAGGTTCTCGTGGGCACCGTAAGGTTTTGAAAGGATGAGCGTGCTGCCGTGGTTCCTGGCTCAAGCAAAATGGTGGCCGTGCTGTAGACTGACCCTGAAAACTGCCAAAGCTGAAACTTGGTTGCACTGGATTGCTTTACGGAAACCTACATTAAGTTACTATTGCAACCATGGCACAGAATTCTATATGCATCCGCGTTATGGGAACTTAACTTCAATTTATAGACGGTAGGCCAGGTTCCTGAATGCCAGTGTGGAAAGGTCGAGCCATCTGTCGTTCTGCTGGTCGTCATGGGTTATAGCCATCCTTACCTAGCTGCGTGTGTCATTTGCACGTTTTGTAGTGATTCTTCACAACAACCCTTGCTAGCCTTCGGACCACCTAAACATTCCCTGAATTTCCTACAAGATACCTGCTGTCAATCACCTTTAGCCCAGGCGTTCCCGCATTGTCATTTCGACAAGGCGCCAGCATAAATCTTTTCTTAGGACGATAGGCTTTGAAGGCAAAAGCTTTGCTTGTAATCGATGACCTTCAATTACAATGCCAAGTTGAACAGCAGACAGTTAAAGTAGGAGTATTTCTTGTGGCAACTGGAAGAAGCAGCTATGCAAGGGTCTTACAAGAAATGCCAGAAAGAATAGCGATGACACCTCTACCGCAAGTATGACTTGCAATACTACTCGTAGCATTGGTGTGGACATGCCTGGCAACATGCTATATAACACTTGAGCAGGTGGGCCCGTAATCCCTTTGAGATCGCCATAAACCCCCAGGACTTCAATTGAAATTCCTGGTTTGGGAATGCCCCGTGTCTTGGAAGGTCCCCAGCTTGGCGTGCGGAGGGCTTCATCTTGATGTTGGCAAACAGGGGGCTTGTGTGAGCAGTACTGTTACAGACCGCGAAAGTTCTTGATGGCAGTTTCATAGAACTCATAGCAGATACTATAGTAGCTTCCATTTTCTTTTCCATTGTTATTACGACGGACGAAATCCTGCATCAGTTTTCTTTCGCCAGCCATCCCTACCAACCCGGAATCTCAATATTGATTAGCCCCAGAATGATCATAAAGGGCACGTGCACGGATGACCGAAATCCTGACCTTTGTGTCAGCAACATTTAGATTAGAGGGGCAGGGGGAGATCTGTCGCTGACAACTGTATGCTGTTGATTTACCAGGTCATGCACGATTTTGTCCACCCACCGTATTACTATTATTTTTACTTTTCCTTTTTTTTAATTGCTATTATCTCTCATAGCAATGGTACCTGCATAATGAGGGAGCCGGGGAGCGAACATTCAACTAATAGGAGAGTCTCCAGCTTGCACCGTTTCCTCTCAAGCTGCGATAAGGCTCTCCTTCTTGGTTCGTTTCAGGCTTAGCATCTTCTATCTTTAGCCTACGAAGCCCCGCAATGCCCCAACTCTTCCCTCACGTGTCCCCCCTTCCTTGCAGGACTCCCCAATGCAAGACCCACAAGCCCAAACCTTCAACACGGACGTTGCAGTATTTGCCATGTAGCCGATGCTGACCCCCAGTTCTTGTCAGTATTCAAACCCCAAATCCGAAGCCTTAAGCTTAGAACTTGCGAAGTCTAGTATTTGAGTCCTAGCACTTGCATCATGAAAGCCTGCTGCTGGGAGGTGGGAAGGGGCAGCCTCGTCAGCAGTGGCAAACCACGGCTGCTTCTTCCAGCACCGCTATCAGGCTCCCTTGGTGGGCTTGAGAGGTTCCTGGTTGGTGGCTGTTCCTCCACTCGGATTTCCTCAACCAAGGTTGTCCCGGAGCAGTTGTTGGCCGGGAGACTGGCAAACCCACGCCGCTTACCTACGTGCACTGTACTTTCGGTAGCTACTTACCTACACTGAGGACGGGGAATCTTGCTCACACCTCAGAAGCCTGGAAAGTCTCAAAAGTCCTAGCATGATCCCCGTAGCACCCTGACAAGAATATGCATAGTCAATTACGCAAAGCGGACAAATCGGGGCTCTCACGAGCAAGCCCTTGAGCCCGGCGCCTCAGCCCTGCTGGCAGGCCCATATCAGTCAGACCTGTGCCACCTTCAACAGAGCTCGGGCCCTACACTCCAGCATTCTGGAGCTTGGCAGACTACATCACTACTTGAAGATTCAATTTCGTTTTTTCGGTGGCCAGGCTGGATGACGGTCTCGGTACTGCTCTAGACTCTAGAGGTTTCGGATGCCCTGCGGATTTGGAGGTGTGGTGGCTAATCGTGCTCGAATAGATTTGAGATGCCGTGCAAGGCTCTGAGTCAGATGCATTTTAGGTTGTTCCGACCTTCCAAATCACGCTAGTAATTATCATGGGATTAGCCTTCCTAGCAAGCCCGTTTCAGTTCGGTGCGGGAGGTCCATTTCATGGGAAAGACACCGTGGCATGAACGCCTCTGTTGGAAGCCTATGACGCATCGTTTTATTTGACAAGCCGCACGAGTCTCGTGCCGTGCTTTCGGACTTCTGCTACGGATAAGCTTATCCGTTCTCCAAAAGCATTAGTAGTATTTGGAGGTGGGGGGGCTTTAGGACCCCATCCCGCAATTCTCATCCTAAATTCTGGACCCCAAAGAACAGCCTTCTGGCTGGCCCAGACTGTTCGGTGCTCCACAACTCCAAACCGTAAACGGGAATCCTGAACCCTAAACCCTACACCAGTCCTACACCCTAGCCGGAAAGCATGGGCTTCAGACTTAGCACCAAAAAAGAGGCTCTTTCTAGCGAAGTCCCTATAGCACGGATGATATTTGGGGTATACAGGAGTGTCGTGCCCATATCTACTCCAGGCTTATATAAATGACTACGCGCCGCTGCTTCAGTAACACAGCTGGCTAATTTGAGTGCGCTTAATTCTATGAGCTTGCCGTGCCTAGCTTCCAAAATGCTCAGGCCGAAGACACAGCCGCTATCCTTTTACACAGGCCGGTACATGAATCTGAGGATGACACTCAAACGACTTTGATGCCATCATCAAGGGAATCGTCCATGAGATGTGTGTGGGGATCGTTTTGGGGACTCTACAGGACAAGAATTAGCGAAAAAATAAGCATCATGGTAGTAATAGTAATAATGGTAATAAGAGGGGTTCCAGAAGGATTGTAACTTCCAATGGATTCATGAAAACAAGCTCCGTGGGCGTCCGATCTACAATGACAACTTTTTTACTAAACAGGATTTAGGGTTCAGGGTTGACAGTTTGAGGTTTAGAGTTTTAGGGCTGTAGCAAAAACTTCTTAAAGGGGGTTGTGTGTGGGATTCTATGGGGAGGATTATGGGGCTTATGAAGGGGGATCCTGGGAGTTTAGACT